CATAAATAAATCAACATATTTATACTAATCCAAACTTAATTAGTTTTGGATTGGAATTAAATTAAAATCTATCCAAGCCAAATAACAATGAATGAAATTTTGACACATAGGATTTCGAACTATGCAAGTCTGCCACTTAGGCTCAACACATTCGTGAATTATATATAGGGCGTATTTAAAGTTTTTATTCAATTTTTGTAATTTCAATTTTTAATATATTAGGGCCAAGTGGTCCTCTGATCCCAAACAAACGCCTTGGACCGTTGTCCATGGCCCATGGTGCTCTAGAGTACGTGCAGAAAGAAAAAGCGGCGGGAAAATTGGAGACTTTGTTGATTGTTGAGGCGACGAGAACAATCGAAGGGAGAGACCGAGGTTTTTTTTTTTTGTTTTTTTTGTTTTTTTTCGTTTTTCAGTTATTCTGATTCTGTATGATCTGATTCATTCATTCGTTATTGGGTATTTCGTGATCTCCTAGTCCAGTAGAGAGTTGATTTAAGATTCTTGTTTAATCCGTATTCAAATTGAAGCAAAGAACGATGGGAGATAAGAAAAGGGGAAACACAGGGAGTGATGATGTACAGGATGATGACCTTGAATACACCACTGACAGCGACAGCGAGAACGACTACTGCCCGGATGGTGGTGAATACGGCAAAGTTCTCATGAAATTCAACGATCCGGAGAAGTATGTTGCTTTCTGCAAGCTCGTCGACCAAACCAAGGTGAACCCTAACAATCTCGTCTGTATGATCTGTGCGTGTGTGTGTTTGGTTGGCCATTTTTGTTAAATTGGGAATTGGATCAGGTTTTCTTATGCCAAAAGATTTAGTATTCATTCATGTGATTGGGAATTGATAAGGATATTCTTATATTTTGCAATCTGCATATATGAGCCATAATCTTTGGTAAATTGTTTCTTAATAATGCCTATGGGAAAGAAGGGTGTTTTCAGTAACCTTGCTTTAGAAAGTAATTGCGTTGGATGTGTATGTATGCACTTTGTCCTTTCTTTTTGATGATATATATTTGTATCAATTTTGATATGTGGAATAAATTAACACTATGATGTAATGTTGCTGCTAATTCTTTTCTTGTTTGTAGGCTTATGATCTCACCTGTTTTCCTCATACTTGGGTGGGCTGTGGCGGTTGTGTCATTCCGGAGTTCTTGTGCAAAGAATATGACGAGGACACCTTTAAGAAAATGATGGATTTGGCACTTCTAGCACTCGAAAGTATCAATGACCAAACTGCGTACTCCGAGACTGGTGCCACCACCGTATGTATCTATTTATATGCATATTTTCTAATTATAATCAACAAATATTTTGTCTATCTATAGGCATTATGAATTCATGTTTGATTTTCTTTCTCTTATATGATTCCGTACTCCTTTTGAAATGATTTAGATGATAAAGAATCTTTGTGATTTCATTGGTTTCAGTTAGAATGTGGTGTTAATGCAACTCTATCAAGAGATGGAAATTTGCTAGGTGGTAATTCATAGTTGATGTATATAAAAATTACTAGAATTGTTGGTATGTTTTGATTTGTTTCAAATATTATTATATTAGGCTGTGGCCACAATATAATAGTAACATATTGCAGAATGGAAGAACTTACAAGTTCGTGAGTTTAAACAAGGCTGCTATTGTTGTACCCTCTGTGGTTGTGGCCATGACTGTTGAGGAGACTGTCCCTGATGGTTCCACTGTTGTTGCTCCCAAAACAGAATCTATTGTGGCCAAGGTGTTTCCTCTTTATAGTACTAAAGAGGGGAAAAAAGTTATAGATTGGATGTTCTATCAGGTCTCAACTTCTACTGACGTCAATGACACCCGTATCTTTACCCCGCAGAGATATGAGGTTGATTCTTTTCTTTTATTGATTATATGTATATTTATTTTGGATATCGATTTTTTTATCTCCTGTTTAAGTAAGTGTGTTGATCCAATTTTTTTCCAAGTTCTAATGGGATTTGTATGTTATAGAAAAAGAAGAAGAGAGATGGAAAAAGGCAGAACACACAGAGTCAAAGTATCATGGAGATGGAACACATTGAAGGTAGTGACGATGAAATGTGTTGATGCAAGTTCTAAGGTTGTTGATTCTTCTGCCACATCGAAGGGTGATGATTGATGGGTTTCAAAAAAAATTCAATTTGCTTCTTTTTGGTTGGTCTGATAAAAACAATTTTGTGCTTGGTTGTTTGGTTTGTGAATGCTTGGGAATGGGAGACAATTCAGCACATGGGTACTCGCGTGGAAATGTGTAAAAAAAGAAAAAAAAAAATGTTTTCGTGGTTTCATGATGATTTCTGGATTTTAATCAGTATTTTGATAAATGGTTTTCTTTTATGGTTTTCTTTTATAAGTTTTTTGTTGTCCAATATGTGATTTTATAGTTTTTCTTTTTATAAAAGTCCAACATCTTGGGGTTCACTGACCTATTATGTTTCTGTTAAGAGTCTTATCTTGAGCTATCATACGTTTCCTTTGCATCTTTATGGCCTGCTGAGTTATCTTGGGCCCGGGTTAATTTTGTGTTTTATCTTGATTTGCGGGTATAGTATAATCGGACCCCCATTGGTCCAATTTTTGTATCTGGGTTTTTTATCAATATAAATTGCCGATTTTGTCCCTAATTTTGCATGTAAAAAGAGAAAAATACACCTGTATATCACCAAATGCATAGCCATTTATACATATCCTGTACACCTCATTTGTCGAACCCTAGCCCCTCATCGTCTTTTCCGTCACGATCGAAGAAGTTCGTCCCAGGTTAGTTTTCTCTCCCCCCGTCTTAATGAATTTGTTATTCAGTTCTTGTTGTATAACCGGTTACATGAATTTCAATTTCTTTCTCAATTGTTGAATGGAAGAGTGCTCAACGACTAGTAGTTGCTCTAGCTGTTGTTTGCACTAGTCCTATTACAAGAAGCTTAAAGTAGTTTTAGGTTCACTGAGTCTGAAGGAAAGGAATATTACAAAATTTGGTCACTTAACATCTTTTCTTATTTATTTTTTCTTTGATACATTCAACCTGGTTTACTATGAGAAAGAAAAAAATGAATTAGTTTATTGCAGGCAAATACTATGCTACATGAATGTCAAGTGAAATTATCAAAACCGAGTTCTGTTATTGGTCCTCGTTCTGCTTTGGAGGCTGAAGTTGTTAGTCTATTATTTTAAACTCGAGTAGTTTTAAAGCTAATTAGAGCTGTGAGTCATGTCCTACCCACTTAAGCAGTCGAGCTTGAGCATTTTTTGTTGAAGCTATTTTGTCAGTTTTGTTTTGTTTTCTGGTGAAAATTGGAGTGAAGCATAAGAAAAATTGGAAGTAGAGAATCAACCAACAATATATTGAAAATAGCCATACAATACTGATTTTCAAAACTTAAAATAACAGTGCATTATCAGTTTATGTTGTACAGACTTATGTTACTTTCGCTCCAAGTATTTATTTGATTAACTATGGAAATTACTTTTTTCGACCCTACTTTGAAAAGAATAAATTTTTGCCCTTAATATTCTTTGTTAGAGGGTTCGACTATATGCCTTTAACTTAAGTTATGAAAGAGGTAAATTTATCTTTTATATCCGAACTGATATAGGATTCATTTAAGAATTCAAACAAACTAAATGGTCCCTTTTATTTAATTCTGTTCTTTTCTTTTCCATTTTATCAACCCGTGTTTGACATTCAACAGACCTATGTTTTATTTTTGAGAAATAACCGAAATGAATGCATTATAGACCATTAAAAAAAACTCTTCCCTTTTTATATTATGATATGTAATTTATCGACTTGACAAGTCACTTGAAGTAGTTGTCATTGTGTGTCTGTGTGTGTTGAACTTAGGCAACTGTTAGTGATTGTCCACAAATTGATACAACTATAGATATCCTATATTAGACCTATTATGCTAAGAAAAAAAGGGGTTCAAGAAGTTGCTATGCCAATTGGTGTGTGTTAAATATGAACCAATTTTACCTTCATTATTAGTTAACTCTGCTTTAAGTTCATGGGAAATTGTTAATAAGTGGATTGTACATGTCCAGGTTCTTACTTGTGTGATCGCAGTTTCCTTCAAATTCAGTTTTACTCTTGCAGTTAAGTACAAGTTGCCTAACATTCCTGAATTGCAGAGTCCAGGATGTCTACTAAATTCTTGTTACTTTAATCCTCGGCTGTTGAATGAATACATGAGAGTCAGCATTGAGGAAGTCAACATGGACGAAGAACTTCCATCCTTTTTCAAGACCATGCTCCCTCGACAGCTCGAGACTCTGGTATATTTTTGTATAATTATTATGCATTGCATGTGTTGAAAAGAATTGGTGTTCAAGTACATGAAAAGAGAGCAACATAAGGCCATATTCAATGAACTTAATGACATGCAGTTTCTCTCTGCGGAATAAAAAAATTTCGTGTCCATGTATTTATGCAAGAACATTGAGGATTTAGACCACTTCTCGAGCATGTCTTCAGAAATGAAGATAGTGATGTTAAAGATGATCCTTGAAAAATGTTTGTAGAAGATACGTTGCATTGTTTCGTTTTGTTTGTGCAAGACTTATGTGATGTCTGCGTGTTTAGGCTCTTTTGTGCTGAAGTTCGCCAGTTTCTATGTTTTGAATGTGCCTCCTTTGTGGTTCTTGTCAACACTTACTATCACGTATGTTTAGCCGCTTTTGTGTTCCATTTTGTATGCCTTTAATGTAATTTGTTTCTGGATATTCTCTACTGGTTGTATTCTGGATAATTTAGTTATTTTAAGTGCGGGAATTGTTGGATATATTCTTTTTAATTATTGAAAATAACTACATAATAATAATGTTAACATTCGGTCAAGAAATGATTGGAGGCAATAAATCACAAACGTCCCTTTTCTTTTAATTGCTGCCAAATTACATGTTTGATGAGAACACAACATCATAACTTTCTCATCGTTTGCAGTCGAGTCGGCTATCAACTGGAATGAAAGTACAGTTTTTCCGCCCGAGATTGTGACTGGGTAGTTTGTAATCAAGAATATTCCCTGTAACAGAACAATAACAAATCTTGCTTTGCAATTTACATTCTAAAACAAGCTTGCAATTCCAGATCAAATAAATAACAAATCTCCAACCAGTGACGACGAGCATTCCTTGTAGTGTTTAACTTGTTTATAAGGCCTACTGAGCTAGTTATGCTAGATGTTAGATCCTTTATATTTTGTCTACTTATTTCGGCTTGAGATTGGGGATGAGACTTGTAACCATCTTGATCATTTTGTGTGTATGTTTCAAGGTTAGCTAAAATTGGAACCCTATGTATATTTTCTTGTTCTCGTTTTCTTGTTTTTCTTTGCAACTTTTAGGAGTCACTTATGTTTGCATAGAAAACAAATTATGTAGCCGAGTCCCTTGCACCCACCCACCAGACCCAAGACCTCCTTTTCCCCCATTTTTAATGCCAGAAGCAAGGTATTCTAGTTTTGCCTTAAATTGGTTGAAGTTTTGTTGAGCCGTTCTAATGTCAAATTTTAGCTGCTGAGTTATGTACAAATTCTGAGTTTATGTTAAGTTCTTTTGGCCCTTGGGAACTTACTAAGAAATTAGAAGAGAGAAGAGTTAGTTTTGAATTGAATTAATATGAGTTTGCTGAGCCTTGGTAATGCGATTTATTGCTGCGAATTTATGTGCTCAATGAACTCTAGTTTCAGTTATAAGAAGAAGAAAAGGCATGTTTAATTAAATATTTATTAAGATTTATGAAAGGAAAAGCATGATTATTACTATTCTTGCCTTGAAATGTTAAAATGTCCTGAGGCTATTATTATATGAATATTATGCTACATAAATGTGTTAATTTTAGAATATTAAAGATCAGTAAGAATTGAATTTAAGAAAAGGAAGGAAAAGAACACTTTGGTGGCCTAGGTTGGATTGAGTTGTCCCGATCATGTTGGCCTTATTAAAACATAGGATTTATAAGCTGTTCATGAGCCTAAGGCTTGCCGGAAAAAGTTGAGTTTTGCCGGCGAAAGTCGTCGAAGAAGGGGCCCAGCCGGGCCAGCCGGCAGTAGAGAACCGAGCAGACCCGTGTTTGCAGCCAAGGGTAGAGGCCCGCAGACTGACTGTGCGCGGTTCATGATAGTTCATATTTTTATGCAAACTATTTACATAAATCTCCTATGCAAACTATTTAGGTGATGATGTTTCATTTTCTTATGCAGAGTTGTGACCCCTCCCTTTCTTTCTTTTACTACCATAGAGCAAATCCTTATATTGTTCT